CCTGCTTTCCCCCCTCTCTACCTTCTTCCTCCCCCTTCCCATTCCCCTTTTTTTCTTTCTTTACCCTCCTCGCCTCCCCCTCTCATACCTCTTTCTCCTCCACTCTTCCTCCTTTCTTTCCTCCCCCTCCTTTCCCCTTGCCCTTGGAAGAGGCTGGTCTCCACAAGATTGGCTATGGGCTAGGAGAGATACATTCACCTGCATGTCCTGTGATAACATGGCTGCCCAAGGGCTAGCAAACTATCGATTGAGGCACGTTGCCTATCGCTGAGCCTAGCATATTTCCTGGACACTTGCAAGACTCCTTTTCTTTTTTTTTTTCCTATAACAACATATCTGGGACAAGGAGCGGAGTATATCTGAGATGTCAATGGGCATCTTCCAACTACCTTTATACTGCATTTTATTTTATTTTTTATCCTCCCCCCTTGACTATTGTCATATTACCGTAACAGCAGGCTATGTTTGCAATGTAGCTCAAAATGGAGGGGGTTTTGGGAGATGATTGTCTGGAGCAGTCATCATGGGGGATCAACTGTTAATGACAAGTTACTGTTATTTTTGCTTTGAATGTCTCTTACCTGTAGCCAGGGATGGGGGACACTGTATTGTGTGGTTGTGTAGTGGATAGCCATAGCCTATCTAAGTACAACACAGCATCATTTGACTTTACCAACTACCAACTGCTAGAGCCAACTGGGACGCAGACTGCCTCCCCCCTCCCCCCTCCTCCTCACCCCCCAAAGACTTTAGGGAGGGCTCTTCCCCGAAACTGTTCAATCACATTTACTAGATGGGCTTTTATGGGAACAACCCTAGCGATGAATTTAGAGGTATCACTATCCTCAATCACAAGTCAATCCCGTATCTGTATGGCGCAACCTTGGTAGGGTAGGAGGGACGATACATCTTCATAAAGGGGGAGATACTATGCCAGTAATACACTTTTGCCAACATTTACTCACCTAACTCACAACAAGGCAGATTTCTGAGGGCTACAATGCTTTCACAGAGGGCTGTCAATTATTTGGAGGGGACTTTAACATAGCCTTACACCCATGAGTTGACACCTCTACAGGCACATCAGCTGTTCCTGACCACACACTCCAGATGATTAGGAACTTACTCCTCACTCACCGCTTAACTGATTGCTGGCGGGCTCTGCACCCTGACGCTAGGGACTATTCACACTACTCTATCCTTATTCTTGATATTCCCACCGAGACTACTTATTCGTCCCCTACTACTGTCTACAGCCCTCGGAGTGACAACTTGTTCTGACTATGCCTTCCTCATGCTGAGTCTGACTAGCCCACTTTCTAAACCCAAGACAGTTAATTGGAGACTAAACGTGACGCTCCTCAACAGCCCATTGGTCCTATTGGACGCAAACAACACATATACTATCACTCCACCCACCTGCAAAGAGTGCTGTACTGGGTCAAGGGAAGGGTAACCAAACTGGAAGGACATCGAGCAACGTCAAACAGGCGACTCCTTGCTAGCTCTAGTCTGGATGACTCACGGAGAGAGTAGGGTGTTAAAGAGTCGACAGCCATGTGTCAAGGCCACTCTTAAAATCTGGCACCCATTGGCTCCCAAACTGTACCCCTTTGTAACCCCTCACCACAACCCTGACTTCCCACCGAGCTTCGGGAACAGACCTTATGCATGCTTTTTCCAACATGCACAGATCCAGGTCTACCACACGACTAAGGGGAAGTGGCTCATGATGCTAGAGGACTTATTGGGGGACAAGGTAGGAACCTTCATGCATAGGTTCAAGTACGAACAACTACGAACAACCCAACTTGCACAGGGCTCTTAGCCCATTTGAACAAAATTGTGTAGATTCTGCCCCATAACCCCACGCAATCTTTTTTCTGTACTCCCTACTGCAAACCCAAGAGAACCTACCAGCCCCTAGCTACATGGGTAAATGGGAAGAGTATCTTGGAAAAACTCTTAGACAACAAATGGGGGAAAATTTGTGATTTGGTGCACCACTGCACGTTTGCTAGCAGAACCCAGGAGACAGCCTATAAAGTCTTAACACAATGGTACAAAATACCATACCTCCTACTGAAGATAAACCCTACCTTAGATGTTAACTGTTGGCGCTGTCGGGCCACACCGGGCGCGTTCATGCATGTATGTTTGGACTGCCCTAAAATCCAACCTTTCTGGATGGCAATCAGTGCCATCTTATGGAAGTTCTCGGACAACCCACCACCACTCAAGCTGGCACCTTTCCTCCTACACCAAACCACTACTCCGACAGCTAAATACAAAAGATCCATGTCCATACGGATCTTGAAAATGGCCAAATGGGTTATCCCCCTTTATTGAAAAAAGAGGAGCCCCGCCGCTGACGTTATGGTTTGACAAAATGGAGAACCTAAGACGGTCGGAGGAGCTAACTTTTGCATCCCAGGGACGTACACAAATACACTGATATTTGCACTCATTGGCCGCTTGACGCTTACCCCCCAGACTTCCAAGCTTTGCTGATGTACGGTTCCCCGATAGACACCGCTGAGGGGTTGGGGACGGCAGTAGGGGTATGTGCCAGATGGGGGATGGGCCACGGGTTGCTGGTTGAGATTATCTTGCCGCTGGTTAGGTCCTGAGGAACTTTCTGGTACAGGTCAAAGTCCTGTAAGGGGCTTGGCAGCTGACCTGCCTGCTACTCTAGTGACCTCACCCATCCACTGGACACATGACAGTAGCAGACTAAGGATAGATCGCTCTAGCCTCTCCTACCTACCCATGGTTAGGGCTTGACTCGAGGTGGTAGAATAGGCCACTGGGACCAAGACATCATCTTATAGCGACCGTATAATTTATCTATAAGAGCTCAATGATTATTGCTGAAGGACTCAAGGGTCCCCGTTTACATGTTTTATTATTTTTGGATGCATATATCTCAGTCCTGCGTGTCTGTCTGCACTGTTGATGCAAGTTTCTAAAATTGTTACTATAGACATGTTTTTCTTGACCGCAAGTGATTTCTCTATGGTGACGAATAAAACTTTTTTATTCACAGTAAAAAAAAATCTTTTATTTCAAATGAAGACCTGGGAACGCTATCCTATTACTATTTCTATGTTATGCTGACAAGCACCGTGCAAGAAAGCAAAGTTGCAGAGAATGCAGCATTATTTGGTCTCTGTGTCTCCCTCTCCCTCTGCCTCTGCCTCTCCCTCTCCCTCTCCCTCTCCTTCCCCCTCTCTTTCCCCCTCTCTTTCCCCCTCTCTTTCCCCCTCTCTCCCCTCTCCCCCCCCTCTCTCCCCCTCTCTCCCCCTCTCTTCCCCCTCTCTTCCCCCTCTCTCCCCCCCTCTCTTCCCCCCTCTCTTCCCCCCCTCTCTTCCCCTCTTCCCCCCTCTCTTTCCCCTCTCTTTCCCCCTCTCCTTACCCCTCTCCTTCCCCCTCTCCCTCTCCCTCGCCCTGCCCCTCTCCCTCCCTCACTCCTCCCCAATAATGCTGTGTGTGTATATATATACATACAGTATCTCACCCCTCACATTTTGTTATATCTTTTCACGTGACAACACCAAAAAGAAATGACACTCTGCTATAATGTAAAGTAGTAAGTGTACATTGTAAATAACAGTGCAAATTCTCTGTCCCCTCAAAATAACTCAACACACAGCCATCAATGTCTAAACCATTGGCAACAAAAGTGAGTACACCCCTAAGTGGAAATTGGGCCCAAAGTGTCAATATTTTGTGTGGCCACTATTATTTTCTAGCACTGCCTTAGCCCTCATGGGCATGGAGTTCACCAGAGCTTCACAGGTTGCTACTGGAGTCCTCTTCCACTACTCCATGACAACATCACTGAGCTGGTGGATGTTAGAGACCTTACACTCCAACACCATTTGAGGATGCTCCACAGATGCTCAATAGGGTTTTAGACATGTACATTTAGTTTCGGTCCGAATATGAATTCGGACGAATTTCGGGCAATTCGGACCTCGGCTATTCGGAAGTACCCGAAGTTCCAAAATTACAGAAGTTCCGAAGCACAGTATTGCCTAAGTACTAATATACTTACCCAGTGAAAGAAGAAGAATGTTACATTGTATACAATTTTAAATAAAAAGTATACAAACCTAGCCAGCATTCAGCTGTAAGCATTTGCAACACTTACAACAATCAAGTAACATACATTCATATAAAATGTAAGTTACTTAGCCTGTCAATGTAATGACAGGAATGAATAAGTGGATAACTCCCTAATTCCCACGGTATTAGGGAGCTATCTACTAAAAGGCTGAAAGACCTAAATTGGTCTTTCAGCTAAATTTACTAATACTAAGTAAAGATTGCTTAGTACGCTGAGCATGTGCATTCAACTTCTTTGGTTAGCCATGATGAGGCCTGTTCTGAGTGGAACCTGTGCTGTGAAACCACTGTATAGTCTTGCCCACCATGCTGCAGCTCAGTTTCAGGGTCTTGGCAATCTTCTTAAAGCCTAGGCCATCTTTATGTAGAGCAACAATTCTTTTTTTTTCATATCCTTTGAGAGTTCTTTGCCATGAAGTGCCATGTTGAACTTCCAGTGACCAGTATGAGATAGTGTGAGAGTGACAACACCAAAATTAACACACCTGCTTCCCATTCACACCTGAGACCTTGTAACACTAACGAGTCACAAGACGCCTAGGAGGGAAAATGGGTAACTGGGCCCAATTTGGACATTTCCACTTAGGGGTGTACTCACTTTTTTGCCAATGGTTTAGACAATAATGGCTGTGTGTTGTTATTTTGAGGGGACGTTATACAGGCTGTACACTTACTACTTTACATTGTAGCAGAGTGTCATTTCTTCAGTATTGTCGCATGAAAATATATAATAAAATATTTACAAAAATGTGAGGGGTATACTCAGTTTTGTGAGATACTGTGTGTGTGTGCGCGTGTATATATATGTGTGTGTGTGTGTATATATTTTATATATATATATAATATATACACACACACTTATATACACGCACACGTGTGTGTGTGCGTGTATATATGTGTGTGTGTGTGTGTATATATATATATATATATATATATATATATATATATATACACACACACATATATACACACACACACAGTATCTCACAAAACTGAGTATACCCCTCACATTTTTGTAAATATTTTATTATATATTTTCATGCGACAATACTGAAGAAATGACACTCTGCTACAATGTAAAGTAGTAAGTGTACAGCCTGTATAACGTCCCCTCAAAATAACAACACACAGCCATTATTGTCTAAACCACTGGCAAAAAAGTGAGTACACCCCTAAGTGGAAATGTCCAAATTGGGCCTAATTACCCATTTTCCCTCCTAGGCGTCTTGTGATATATATACACAATACGTACCTTTATGTTGGACTTTAGGATGTGATATACTGTTGGAGCTGAATGTGAGTGAGCCCCTGTAGAGAGGCGGAACCTGTATGTAGTGTTCTTTGCTGTTTTTGGATAAATATTGAAGCATAGATCCTTTAATGCCATGTAACTAATTTGAGACAAAAAAATGTCATACTAGTCTGTGTAACGTTGATAATATATTCAGCCAATAACATTGAGGCCGAAGTAGAAAACCAGACACTCCTGGTCAAACTTTTCCACTTTAACTCAGATAATGCAAGAAAAACAAACAAAAAAAAACAATAAATCTTTTACAATTATTTAGTGCACAAAGGGAAAAGCCACTTGTTTCATATGAGATGTTTTTTCAAGCAGAGTTGCCCTCACGTAGTTTGAGTGGACCTGCTTTATGAACTAGGCTGCAATCCGTTTACACAAAGCCTGATTCCTGTTACACAATTCAATTTACAGAGCTGCTAAAAACGTTGGCATTTTATAAATAATAATAATAATAATGGCAAACATTCTTGAAAACGTACTGATATTTTGTTTTTATCCTTCTTCTGTAGAGTGATATTGATGTGTATTTATATTTGGATGAAATAACACATCTCAAATGTCTCTTGCTTCCCTTATCCACATAGGTGTGTATTTAAACCCTTAAGGACACATGACATATGTGACATGTCATGATTCCCTTTTATTCCAGAAGTTTGGTCCTTAAGGGGTTAATTTTACATTCCATTCAAAATGCACAGTGCTTTCATTTCAATTATTGTTCATTTAATTGGTCTTTTGAAGCTTTTATGTTCCCTTTTAGTGAAATATGCCCTCACTTCAAATAAAAGAGTCATATGTACACAATAAGAACCTATCTAAAGAACATATCCTCATTCTCTAATATTTATTTGAATATGTCTGAGAGTGAAAAACTACAATAAGATCTGAGCTCCATTGTTCAGTTGGAGAGGGGAAGAAATTGGTAACATGGCTAAAGAATAGGGACTATAATCTGTAGATAAGTTAAATAAAAACATATTGAATGTGGTAAATTGAATGAAATGTTGTTTGAAAGCAAATTGTCAGGCTGACGTCTTTATTTTGATAATTTCCCCTACTGAAGGAATTGCATAGTAGGAGATATAGATCTTGTCTCAGGCCACAGTATTCTAGTGTATGCAGCATTTTCATCAGTTGTAAAAAAATAATGCTCTATGCATTTGTCTGCTTGGTTTCATTCTGTCAGGCATCAATTGATTATTCTCCGCATTTTCAATGCAGAAAGAGAGAAGAAAATGAAAGTGACACAAGTTATCCTACATCAGTTTTTGTTTATTGTGACAGATTTATTAAAGTTGCGTTTCAGAGCTACTTGAATGTTGGAAACATTTTAAATTTAACAGCAAAATCAAATGCTGTGCTATCGGTGTACCTTCACTTGGAGTCTAATTTATAAATCACAGCGTGCTGCTTGCAAATTGAAGACTTAAAGCAAAGCATCAGTCAAGCAAAAATATAAAATCTTCTCTTTCTACATGTATAGTATGGGAAATCAATGAAAACTCTGTAAGCCATCAAACGTTCCAGCTGAGAACAGTGTCTTACATTATTAGTGTAGGAGAACCTGTGTATTCAACATATTTATACCTAAAACAGACAGACTCCTTCTACAATCTCTGTTAGACCCTTTGTCACCCACCCTCCTTGACCTATCTGTATATTCCTGTTACATGTGAATTATAACATTGACCTTTCTTATTCTGTTCTGTTCCAAAATGTTTCCATATCACTGTGTAGTCAATCACAGTTCATGTTTAACCCCATTCTTTCCTTCGTAGGTGAATGGGTCACTGGATCCCCTGTCCATACCATCCTACCATTTCTCCATTGCCTCCTATTTCTTTTTTTTTTTTTTAAATCACACTATCTTCTACATCAGTGGTGCTCAAAAAGCAGACCCCAAATGTTCTAGAACTGCAGCTTCCATGATGCTTTGTCATTTTAAAGGCATGCAAAGCATCATGGAAGCTGTAGTTCTACAACATCTGGGGTGTCTGCTTCTTGAGCACCCCTGTTCTACATGTTCTCATTTACCACTTTCCTACCTAATTACTTTTTGAGAGTCTTTGATTTTTTTTCTTATTGTTTACTTTTCCTTGACCATTTTGCTTTAATCTTGTCATTTTGAACTGGAAAGCCCTTTGAACCTTGATTCATAGTAAAGAGCCATATAAATAATTATCATCATAGTTTTCTCCATAGCTGGTTTTAAATGTTGTAGCAACCGTAAAATGTATACTCCTGCTCAAGAAATTGAATCCTGCATTTAATCCATTTCACTAAGGTTACATTTACAGCTTAACTACTGGCTTCTCAATATGAGTCACGAGGATTGCAGTTGCACCATTCTTCAAATCCCCATCTCTAAAACACCAGCGACTGCTCTTTTAACAAGGAATGGGAGATCTGCGCTTCAGGTGGCATAGCCCTCTTGGTTCCCAGCTTTCTTTTGGAAAGCACCATAACATAGAATAAAAGTAAAATATAATACTGCATATGCTGTAGGTTAATGAAACATGCCAAGATAAAACTTTGTCCTCACAAACCATAGTTCTCACTTTCCTGATGCAACACCAAGGTTATCTGACTTTTTCACTACAAACAAACACTGAAAATTAATTCATCAGTGTATTGACTCTCCAAAAAATGGTGCATTAGGCTTCTAAACATCCTTACTTTGGCTCTTAATTTTCCCTATGTTTAAAGGACACTATAAGTCACCAAAACAACTTTGGCTTAATAAAGCCGTTTTGGTGTATAGACCATGCCCTTGCAGTCTCCCATGTCAAATTAGTTTGTTTATGCACCAGTCACACTTCTCTGCATTAGACTTGCACAGCCTTCCTAAACACTTCCTGTAAAGAGTCACTACTGTTTACACGTCCTTTATTGTAAATTCTGTCTAATTTAGAATCTCTTATCTCCTGTTCTGTTAATAGCTTGCAGACAATGCAGCAGCTTCCTGTGTGTGATTAAAGATCAATTTACAGAGCAGGTGATACAAACCTCTGACATAAGTTAGCATCTGATTAAAAATGAAAACAAGCAAGTATGAGTTACCGTCAGGGGAGATGTGGCAAGGACTGCAAGTGATTTAATTCCTAAATAGCATGAACTAGACACCAAAACTGCTTAATTGAGATAAAGTTGTTTTAGTGAATATACACCCTGTTCCAAATTATTATGCAAATTCTATTTAAGTGTCACAAAGATTAAATATTTTGTTTTTCAGTATAACTCATGGATGGCATTGTGTCTCAGGGCTCTTTTGATCACTGAAAACAATCTTGGACACCTGTGATAATTAGATTGCCAGGTGAACCCAATTTAAGGAAAAACTACTAAAGGAGGGTGTTCCACATTATTAAGCAGAGCACCATTTTCATGCAATATGGGGAAGAAAAAAGAATCTCTCTGCTGCCGAAAATAGTGAAATATTTCAATGCCTTGGACGAGGTATGAAAACATTAGATATTTCACGAAAACGTAAACGTGATCATCACACTATTAAGAGACTTGTGACTGATTCAGAGCACAGACGGGTTTGTGCAGATAAAGGCACATTCAGAAAGATTTCTGCCAGATCCGTGCATCGGATCAAGAGAGCAGCTGCTAAAATACCATTACATAGCAGCAAACAGATATTTGAAGCTGGTGGTGCCTCTGGAGTCCCACGGACATCAAGGTGTAGAGTCCTCCAGAGTCTTGCAACTGTGCGTAAACCTTCTATTCGCCCACCACTAACTAATGCTCACAAGCAGAAATGGCTGCATTGGGCAGAAAAATACATGACTAATTTTCAAACATTCCTGTTCACTGATGAGTGCCGTGCAACCCTGGATGGTACAGATGGATGGAGTAGTAGATGGTTGGTGGACGGCCACCCTGTTCCAACAAGGCTGCGACGTCAGCAAGGCGGTGGTGAAGTCATGTTTTGGACCGGAATCATGGGAAGAGAGCAGGTCAGCCCCTTTAGTGTCCCCGAAGGTGTAAAGATAACCTCTGCTCAGTATGTGGAGTTTCTGACTGACCACTTTCTTCCCTGGTACAAAAGGAAGAACTATGCTTTCTGTAATAAAATCATCTTTATGCATGACAACGCACCATCTCATGCTGCAAAGAATACCTCTGCATCAATGGCTGCTATGGGGATAAAAGGAGAGAAAGTCATGGTGTGGCCTCCATCCTCCCCTGACCTCAATCCTATTGAGAACCTTTGGAGCATCCTCAAGCAAAAGATCTATGAGGGTGGGAGGCAGTTTACATCCAAACAGCAGCTCTGGGAGGCTATTCTGACATCTTGCAAACAAATTCAAGCAGAAACTGTCCAAACTCTCACAAGTTCAATGGATGCAAGACTTGTGAAGCTGCTATCAAATAAGGGGTCCTATGTTAAAATGTAACATGACCTGTGAAAATGTTTAAAAAGTTAAAATGTTGTTATAAGTTTGATTGAAATAGCTTTTGATTTCAGTAAATATGCTGCAAACACAACAAATGACAATTTTCAGTTCTTTAAAACCTATAAAGTGTTTTGAAACTTACTGTGCATAATAATTTGGAACAGTGCATTGTAAGTTTTTTATGTTTAAAAAAAATACTGTTATCATTAGGAGGTTTGTTCAATAACATTTTAATTGTACTCTTAATAGTTGATAACATGAGAATTATGCTGACTGTT